ATTAACAATGGTCTAGCTATCAATTGGAGGCGCTTAATCAAAGATTCCGCTAGACCATTTTGAGTGTGAACATGAGCAACTGGATGTTCAATTGTTATCCCAGTGGACAAACAATAATCATTAAAGGCCTGCGATGTAAACTCACCAGCATTATCAAGACGAATTGTCTTTATTGCATAATCTGGAAATTGTGCTCTTAATCTTATTATTTGAGCCAACAACCTCGCAAAAGTCATATTGCGAGTTGATAATAAGCACACATGTGACCATCTTGTAGATGCATCTATCAAGACCATATAATATTTAAATAGTCCACATAGAGGGTGAATTGTCCCACATATATCACCTTGTATACGTTCCAAAAATGCAGGGGATTCAATCCCAACCTTAGTTGCTAATGGTTTAATAACCAACTTTCCTTGAGAACAAGCAGCACAAGAGAATTTCTTTGCTTGAAGAATTTTCTGATTCTTCAAAGTATGCCCATGTGAATTCTCAATAATTTTGTGCATCATATTATAACCGGGATGGCCCAACCGGTCATGCCAAATGATAAAATTATTAGGATTAGTAAACCCTTTGTTTACTATGGCATGTGATTCAACCATACTAATACTTGTATGGTACAATCCAGAAGAAAATGCGGATAATTTTTTATGCACATATTTTTTGCCCCCAATTTTACTGTAGTAATATAAAGGTATTCAACCTTTCCAACATTGGCAGTCTCAACATGATAGCCATTTTGGCGAATAACCTTGAAACTTAATAAGTTTCTTTGAGACTTACTACAGTACAACACATTTTAATATTTAATATCGTTCCCCCAGGTAGTAGTAAGGCCGTTCTTCCAGAGCCCTCAATTAATTTTTGCACTACCAGATATTGTATTAACATAAGCCTTTTTCATAATCAAATTAGAGAAATATTTCCTTTCTCTTAAAATAGTGTGAGTTGTAGACACTATCAAGAAGACACATATCTCCATTACTCATTTTGAACCAATTGAAGATCGGGGAATTTTATTTATCTTCATAAAATAAAGGTACATCATAAGAAATATGAAAAATCAACAACTATGCAAGAAAATAAAATTACTTTTTTTTTCTGAATATAAAAACAACATAAGGAAAACCATAACAATTAAAAGCACATAAATAAAACAACATAATTATTTTCCCCAATCAAATGATCAAGCATTAGTTTTGTTCTCCAAAGAAGTCTTCCACTTCCAAATGAATAATATCATCAAGGTCATCAAAATCATCATCTTTTAAAGCCAAATTTGCTTTAATATCGTCATCATATTTTTGTGAATGCCCTGCATCGGCATCATTTTTATAAGTCAAGTGTGACTCCACCCGAGCATTAGAAGAAGATGCACCATTTTTATTTCCTTTTCTTTTCAAGGAATCTTGATAAAGCCTAACAAAATGCTCAGCTGCTCGGCATTCATTCTTCCAATGCCCTTTCATGCCACAACGATGACAATTGCCTCTTGAAGGATTGCTTTGAGAACCCATATTGTTCTCCCTTTTGTGGCGACCACCACCACGACGATTATTATATCGTCCCCTGCCATTGCCACGTCCACATACATTATTTTGCCCCTGATTTTTATTTTGTCTTCTCTCAGATTGGCCATGTGCTTCAACCTCATTTGCTTTCGGTAATGGAGCAGTTCCCGTGGGACAGGCCTCATGATTTTTCAATAAAAGAGTATTATGTTGCTCAACCAGCCTCATGGTTTTTCAATAAAAGAGTATTATGTTGCTTAGCCACAAGAAGGCACGAGATCAACTCAGAATACTTTTTGAATCCTCTTTCACGGTATTGCTGCTGTAATACCAAATTTGAGGCATGAAAAGTTGTGAGAGTCTTTTCCAACATGTCCTCATCTTTTATATCTTCCCCACATAATTTCAATTGGGAAGTAATTTTGTATACAGCAGAATTATAATCACATATAGTTTTAAAATCTTGTAACCGCAAGTGAATCCATTCATAACGAGCCCTTGGCAATACCGTTGCCTTAAGGTGGTCATACCTTTCCTTCAAACCAGTCCACAATTCAAGTGGATCTTTCACCGTAAGGTATTCAACCTTCAATCCTTCATCCAGATGATGACGAAGGAAAATCATTGCCTTTGCTTTGTCCTGACTCGACGTTGTATTACCATTGGTAATAGTGGCACCAAGACCTTTAGCGTCAAGGTGAATTTCAGCATCGAGTACCCATGACAAGTAATTATTTCCAAAAATGTCAAGTGCCACGAACTCAAGCTTTGATAAATTTGTCATGATAAAACTATCATAGAAAATAATTAAATTAGAGTAAAATAGACAATGAGTAAATAATTAAGTAGCAAAACCTTCTTTTTTTTTCCATCAAAGTAAAATTAGCATACAATCTCACAAGAAATGTTGTTCAACCTTGAGACTTCGTGCTGATAACGTGTTGTAAAACTTAAGGACAAAAGAACAATATAAAGAACAAGCGAAGAAGACTATAAGACAAGAGGAACAATATAAACTAACATTCTTTCTTTCAACTGTCATCAACATTATTCTGAACACCACTATTTATAGGATTACATTGAGGAATACCAAAGGGTGTCATAAACATTACATTAAACCTTGAGAATTACTACCCATTAAGGAGGAAATAAACCTAGGAGTTATGGTCATCCAATTAACCATATTATCAACAACATTACTACCAATAAAGGATGAAATTAACCTAGGAGTTATGGTCATCCATTTGACCACATTATCAACAACATTACTACTCATAAAGGAGGGAAATTAACCAAGGAGTTATGGTCATCCATTTAACCACCAAAATGATTTACAACAGTCGTTTTTAATTTCTCATAGTATATCATTATAAGCTATGTAATATTATGTGTTCTTGCTGTATTACGGATAATGTTCTGAGTTAGTTTTTGTAGCTTTCACATTGCTTAGTTATTTTATAAAACATAATTAATGGAACGGATGTATAGAAGAACGTTGGCAGGAGAGCTATGGGAATAAGGGATGTAATATCTTTTGCATTTTTGTAATCTTCTACCCGTGAATTATATTGAATATGTTATTGTTTGTCACATCGAACTATTTGAAAGTCACTGTTACCCCATATATCACTTGTATTTTTATTTCTTTTCTGTTATTGTAGGGCTGGTTTCTGAAAACATTTTCAATTTCACTGTTGGAACTGACTGCACAAAGATTTCAACCTTTCCCTGCTTGGAAAAATGTTAAATGTGTAGGGACACTTGTTTTAGGGGACACCCAAAATTAAAGGTACTCTAAAATACAAAATGGGATCTCTGCTAGTTAACAGAATGGTACTTGGAACGACAAAACCTGTATCCAGCATGCTTCACTGTCTTCACTATTATAGAGGGGACGTGAATTTGCAGAGGTTGTTTGTTTACAAAAAATAAACATGATTCGAGTTATTCCGACCTCATCACTTCAATTCAAGGGCACAACTGAGCAGGGCTCGTTCACAGCTTCTCACTTAGCCAACTGCCAGACAAGGATGCAAATCAGCTCCTTATATAGAATATATAGACCGACAACATTCAATGAAGCAGCCAGTAGATCCAAAAACAAGAACACATTACAAAGCGTCTACAAACACTTGTTTAAACCTTCTTAAACTCCGTTATAGCTTGCGCACTTGACTAATTCCACAACATATGTGTCATCTCCCTCATCCCACCATCGCAAGTGTCAGATAACTTTGTCCACAAAAAATACATGATAGACAACCTCTACCATACATTACATTAAACCTTGAGAATTACTACCCATTAAGGAGGAAATAAACCTGGGAGTTATGGTCATCCAATTAACTATATTATCAACAACATTACTACCAATAAAGGATGAAATTAACCTAGGAGTTATGGTTATCCATTTGACCACATTATCAACAACATTACTACTCATAAAGGAGGGAAATTAACCAAGGAGTTATGGTCATCCATTTAACCACCAAAATGATTTACAACAAAGGCATCAATATCTCTCTTTTCAATTGTTTTGTTCATCTACTCCATTTTCGTACTCATTCGAGTATTAAGGTATTGTCAAATTTTGTTCATCTATTTTTATTTCAATATTTTTTCTTGGTCATAAACTTCAACAAAAAAATAATAATTACTAATTATGTGTTTTTATATTTAGATCAACAAACATCACTATTAAGTATTAATTTAATTATATAAATTACAATCATGAGTTTCAATTGAGTATTGCTTTTTAAAAAAAAGAAAATTATTTGTAAGAATTTTTTGAGAAAAGGCCCAAAATAGTCTCTCATCTTTGGATTAAGACTTAAAAGTCATCTTTGAGTTTTCACATGGAGCACTAATAGTCCCTCATATTTGCAATATTGGTGCATCCCCTAAATTTTTGCCTATTTATTAATATTAATTTTGTCCACAATTTTATGTAAGGAATGTCCAATCATCTTTATATATATTTAGTAGAAATAATAACTCTATGTGAGAGAAGGTGAGAATTAAGAAGAACACCTTGTTTTGCTCAGTGAAAATATTATATTACTGCAGCTAAGCTAAGAACAACTTAACATATGACGTTGCAAGAAAATAAAAATTTATACTATTGCACGTGAAATCATCGTGGTTAACCTTTCGACTTTCACATCGTGATAAACCTTTCGACTTTACCTGCAATACGATTTCTACTAAACAAAACAAGGGGAAGAACTTTTGGAGAAGGACCAAAAGTGCACCAATATTGCAAACATAAGGGACTATTAATGCTCCATGTGAAAACTCAAGGATGACTTTGAGTCTTAACCCAAAGATGAGGGACTATTTTGGGCCTTTTCACGAATTTTTCATTATATCTACAAGCATCACTAAATTACATTGTTTTTTTTATTATCTGCTATACTTTCTTTATTATTTTATTCTTCTTTTATTTGAGTTTTATGCACTTGAGCCGAGGGTCTTTCATAAACAGTCTATCTACCTCCATGAGGTAATGATAAAGATATGCGTATATTTTACCCTCTCCAAATCTCACTTACTTAAATTTCACTAGGTATGTTGTTGTTGTATGGAAAATTTAAATTAAAAAATTGAGGTTCGTTTGAAATGGACTAAAAACAAAAATGCGTTAAACAAATTGAAACATAAAGGATTAACTATTTATCCATGTTCCGATTTAGTTATCGACTCCACTTGATTCCATTCGATGTTCAAGAATTCAGTGCATAACTGTCAATATTGTTGCAGGCTAACTCAAAGATTGATACATAACGAATTTGTTTTTCCTTTTTTCAATCCGTTTTGGAAAAAAATATTCATCTTTTGATTAAACACCTGAAATGGGTGCTTTACTTGTATATATTCTCTTTAGTTTGGATGTAAAGCTCTGATAGGAAAAGAAAATTATGAAACTATTTCTATATTTCAATTATTAATGATCGGTATTTAGACAGATCGGAAGAAAGTGGAAAGGAAATACTTTGTCAAAAATAAAGTCGTTCTTATATCTTGAGCAACAATTATTCCTTTTTTTTTAATAGTGTACGTCTGTCATTGCAAGAAAGAATATGTTTTGGGAAAGTCCCAACGTGAGTTTGAGTAAAGGAAGATATGGAATTAGATGTTTACTAGGGGTGCGCATCGGTCGGTTCGGTTCGGTTTTAGGTGTTATTGGTTCGGTTTATCGGTTTTCGGTTTGTAAATACATCAAACCGATAACCAAACCAATAACATATTTCTTATCGGTTTTTGGTTAATCGGTTTATGGTACTTAACGGTTCGGTTTTCGGTTTAACCAATAAGAAAATACTCATATATATTATATACACGATAAGAAAATTTTCAAATAAACCATATGATCTTTCCAGCATTTGGCATGAAAGTAATAATCATAAAAGTAACAATCATTTTTCTTGCAAGTTTAGACACTAGACACATTCAAAGGAAAAAGTGTGAAAGTAACAATCGTTTAACCATTAACAAAAAGTGTGAAAGTAACAATCGTTTAACCATTAACAAAAAGTGTGAAAGTAACAATCGTTTAACCATTAACAAAAAGTGTGAAAGTAACAATCGTTTAACCATTAACAAAAAGTGTGAAAGTAACAATCGTTTAACCATTAACAAAAAGTGTGAAAGTAACAATCGTTTAACCATTAACAAAAAGTGTGAAAGTAACAATCGTTTAACCATTAACAAAAAGTGTGAAAGTAACAATCGTTTAACCATTAACAAAAAGTGTGAAAGTAACAATCGTTTAACCATTAACAAAAAGTGTGAAAGTAACAATCGTTTAACCATTAACAAAAAGTGTGAAAGTAACAATCGTTTAACCATTAACAAAAAGTGTGAAAGTAACAATCGTTTAACCATTAACAAAAAGTGTGAAAGTAACAATCGTTTAACCATTAACAAAAAGTGTGAAAGTAACAATCGTTTAACCATTAACAAAAAGTGTGAAAGTAACAATCGTTTAACCATTAACAAAAAGTGTGAAAGTAACAATCGTTTAACCATTAACAA